AAGTTGTACTAGAAAGTCGCCAGTTCTCAGCTTCCAGCTCCACAGATACTCCGCGTACTAAAGTTGTACTACAAAGTCACCAGTTCTCATCGTCCAGCTCGCCAGATACTCCGCGTACTAAAGTTGTACTACAAAGTCGCCAGTTCTCAGCTTCCAGCTCTACGGATTGCTCCGCGTACTAAAGTTGTGCTAGAAAGTCGCCAGTTCTCAGCTTCCAGCTCACAAATTGCTCCGCGTACTAAAGTTGTACTACAATGTCGCCAGTTCTCAGCTTGCAGCTCACAAATTGCTCCGCGTACTAAAGTTGTACTACAAAGTCGCCAGTTCTCAGCTTCCAGCTCCACAGATACTCCGCGTACTAAAAGTTGTACTACAAAGTCGCCAGTTCTGATCGTCCAGCTCGCCAGAGACTCCGCGTACTAAAGTTGTACTACAAAGTCGCCACTTCTCAGCTGCCAGCTCCACAGATACTCCGCGTACTAAAGTTGTACTACAAAGTCGCCAGTTCTCAGCTTCCAGCTCGCCACATACTCCGCGTACTAAAGTTGTACTACAAAGTCGCCAGTTCTCAGCTTCCAGCTCCGCGGATGCTGTGCCTGCCACGAAATCTGCACATGGAGGTTCACAAAGTGCTGTGCCTGCCACGAAATCTGCACATGGAGGTTCACAAAGTGCTGCACCTGCCACGAAATCTGCACATGGAGGATCACACCTTCGAGCCAGAACTATAAGGCGATTAGCAACCAAAGCTTGCAAAACACAATGTAACTACGCTCCGAGCGATGACACAGGAACACCTTCGAGCCAGAATTACAATGGGGGAACGCTCCGGGCACAGACTATGGAATCGCATTTCCCAATGAGTATGAAGTCCGCAGCGCACATTCGCGACATCCTTGCGACCAGAATTACAATGGGGGAACGATCCGGGCACAGACCGGGCACAGACCATGGAATCGCATTTCCCAATGAGTATGAAGTCCGCAGCGCGCATTCGCGACATCCTTGCGACCAGAATTACAATGGGGGAACGATCCGGGCACAGACAAAATGTACGTTTCACCACACGTTCGCGCGATCGACACGCACGATCTCCGCAGAGGGTTGCTCACGGACAAACGCGATTCGCGTCTCACCACACGCGCGCGCGATCGATGGCCACGATTCCACGAGAGGGTTGCGTTTCGTAAGACCTGCTCGCACCGCCCCGCCGCCTAAAGAGAAGAATAAAGAAGAAGTTGGGTAGGTGAAGTTGGGTAGGTGTCTTAAGGAAGATGTCTACACCTACCTATCTTCACCTACCTATCTTCACCTACCTATCTACACCTACCTACCTACACCTACCTGTCTATACCCACTTATCAATACCCACCTATCAATATCTACTTCTGATGTACTTTGATATTGTTGATCTGATACTTCTACTTCATATGTTATGTTGTGATGTGATATTATTTTATCACATGATATGAGATGATATGATCTGACATTGATGTGATGTGATATGATATTAAAACATGATATGATATGATATGTTATGACATTGATGTGATGTGATATGATATTATAACCTGATATGATATGATAACCTATGAGGTGATGATTAGATGATGATGTTGTGAGGGTGAAGTAGGAGAAAGTTAGTAAAGAATATGAAGTAAGGA